TGAAAAGTGGCATAACAGAGGCAAAATCAGTCCTAATATGGTAATATAATATTGTGATTCCACAATGTTACATTTTATTTCTGGAAAATGAGTCTGATTAGGAATTTTTTGTGTCCATATAAATAAAGAGATACCAGAAGAAAAGGATAAAAACCAAAATGCTCCTAGTTTCCAACTGAAATATCCTTAGCCCATTGTTAACTTTAGCTTGTTCCTTCAATCTTTTCCATGTCTACCTTTCCTCACATCTGCCAATCCTCCCTTCATCATCGCTTCTTTTCGACATCTACTCTACGAACCACCTGTTGTTGTTGTCTCTCCACAAAGCTACTATTCGACTATTTATCACGCAACTAATCAGAACTTAAGTGAAAATAAATTATAAAACACCCTTGCAATTTATAGGACACCAAGTGATCATCAAAGTGGTACCAAAGCTTAAGCTTGTCAACATGATAGAACCTTCTTGCACCAAGACAATATCAGCTTGGTATCATATTGTCTCCTGGTAAATTATCATGACAACCACCATAGTGGCTAGCTGCTAGAACAGCACATGCACACGACATATTAAGGTATGTCAATGCCACTCAGAAACAAAAGAAAAGAAATAAAAGCAAAAAAGATAGAAAAGAAACAAACATGGAGATTCCAGTCATGAGTTCTCTCCATGAGACCCTCTAATGGCACAATGCAACAAGATGTTATGGAACTCAAACTGCTGCAACTAACTCTTCACCTCTAATTTCGCATTCCTGTCTTTGAAATTAAATAAGACTGATTTATATATAAATACATACATACATACATGTGTGTGTGTGTGGCTGTATGCTAAGGTTTTAAATACCAGGTAAACCACCCAAAATGACACGAGATGTAGACAGAACAGTTTTGTGCAATCCGATACAGTTGATTTTTAGATTTTTTATTTTCTAAATACCTTTGGTTGAAAACAGCGGCTGACAGCTGTCAACAACCATTAGATTGACAGTTCAGCACCAAGCTTTGGGCAGCTGTTTTCATCATCCTTTTGTCTTTCCTCTACCTTGCAACATCTGCCTTCACCACTGTTGCTTCAGCATCCATCTCCTACTGTCCCGATAAGAAACAACATGCAGACTGAATGATTTCACCCAATCCAATTTAAAACATGTTGATTTTTTTTATTTTTGTTTTTTAAAAGACCTTTTGATTGAAAACAGCTGTTGACAGCCATCAACAACTGTCAAATTGGCAGATACCAGCATAGCTTTCAGCAGCTGTTTTCACCCTCCTTTGCCTTTCCTCTGCCTTGCAGCCTCTGCCTCCACCACTGCCGCCTTGGCATCTCTTGTTGTCATCATATCCTCCTCACATTGTTATCGCTGTTGTCTCCTCTTCTCCTCCTACTTGTTTGCATCCTCCTCCTCCGGTTCTCCTCCACCCGGACCCCTACCAATCGGCACGAGGGCATTTTGACATATTGTACACCCCACCTTGGGAAGACCAATATCAAAACTGGACCAAGATTTAAAGCCCTATTGTATACTACTACATATTTAATATATGAACACCTTACTAAAACACATCCATTTTGATCAACTCCATATAACATATACAGATAAAAGGAGGAATATGTCAATACGTCAACAAGTTAAAATAATCAATAGGTAAATAAGTATTTATTTGTGTTGACATGTGCTTCTTTGTTCCCGTGTGCTACACCAAATGGTTGCAGCATTTGAATAGCTCACCTTGGATGAATGCAGCCATGTCATCTTAGCCCACCACTACAAATTGTCTAGGCATTAGATTGGTCAGTCTTTGACATAAATAAAAGACTAACACTCAATTCCATTGTTGTCCTATTATCCAAGATCTAGATTATGGAAAACAAAATCCAGCATCCAAAAGATAGCTTTAACTAACAAAATCTAGGTATTACCAAATCCAACCTTGACTAATTAATTAGGCACTTCCTTCAAACATTTGTATTCCAAAATCATAATTTTATCCAAGGTTCGCAATACCGTACCGTACCGGAGTTTCGATCTGGACTCGGTACCGGTACGGTACGGTATACCGCTCTGTCACGAACGGTCGTCGCGCACCCGCAACAACTCCGTTCAACGAACCGTTCGTCGCTCACGCCTGCATGTACAGCTGCTTGGCAGCATGTTTTCTTATGGTTTTGGGTCATTTTGCTTGTAAATATGTAAGTTCGAACAAGCTGCAGCGTTGCAAAGCGACCGCTCACCGAACCGAGCAAAACAGCCCCAAAACAGCCCAAAACAGCTCCGTTTTCGCGTGCCACGGGAGGTGAGCGGAGAGCTGCCTCCGCTCACCAAAATGTCAGCCATCTCAGACCCCAGGAACCCCCCGGGTGGCACATGGCTGGATGGGGCTTCGGTTATATACCGGGCGTTGAACACTCTTTCGCAAGTTCGCACGTGACCTTTACGGGAACTTGGTTTTGCGCCCGGGACCAGGTGAGCGGCTGTTTGTGGGCTTGCAGTTGTTC